GATGAGGAAACCCAAGGCCCAGAGATGGGCAGATACCCACCCGGGCCACACAGGAGCAGAGGCTACGCTAGACCAGGCCGGGTCTCCTGCTTTGCAGCCAGTTCACCCTCAGCGCCTCCTGGGTTTCCAAGCCATGCAGGCCTGCCCTCTGACCCCGGCCCCCTGGGAGCCTGATCTCAGGCCCATGGGGCCTGTAAGTCTGGTCTGAATTAGACACGCTGAGAGGCAAAAGTTGGCGCCCCCCGCCCCCCAGCAGGCCGCCTGGTGGGACCGCAGCTCACAGCTGCCGAGGCTCGCAGGGACATAAATCATGGTGGCAGGAGGCTTGGGGGCTGGGAGCACCTTAGCCTCCCAGAGGGCACAGGGGCCTGAGAGCCGTGGGCAGGGGTGCCTGGGTCCACTGGGGGTATTTTCCACCCTCTGTTGGAGCAGCTGAGGTGAGGAAGAGTCAGAGGGGCCAGGGCACCGTCTGGCAGGCCTTACATCCCAGCGGGCCAAAATCTCAACCTCAACTTTTCATTCCGCAGCCATTTACAAACACACAGAGAAGTGACAAGTAACACAGAGCACTCCCATGTACTCTTCACCTGGATTCAACAAGTTGTAACAGTGGGCCATATTTGCTTTATCCTTCTCTTACTCTCACATTTTTTTCTGAACCATTTGGGAGTGTGTCACCTCGTCATGTTCCTCTACCCCTTCAAAATGCTTCAGGGTGTATTTCTTAAGCACAAGGAGACCCTCTTACATAGTCATACTATTAGCAAATTCAGAAAATGTAATACTGACACAGACTCTTATCTCTTGTTCTTATCTCAATTTTGTCAACTACCCAATACTGTTCTCTATATGCCGTACAGGATCTAGCCCAGGTCATGTGTTACATTATTCTGTTGAGGTCTAGGTTTTTGATGTCATGTCCACGTGAAGGAAAACCCGCAGACTGGTTTGAATAAAGACCTCCAACTTTACATGGGTGTCCTAATGTGTTTGTAAATCCTCTACTTAATGTTCTCATGGTCATGCATTCTACTTGTGACTGTGTATGGGTGTTTAAGAATTAACTTGCCAATTATGCCAGCTCTCAGAATTCTGTTTTGCGTGTGTGTGTGTGTGTGTGTGTGTGTGTGTGTGTGTGTGTGTAAGTGTAATCTAATAGGAGCCTAATAAAATGGAAGTGGCTTGGGCCAATGAGGGGGAATTAAATGAGGTGGAGAAGCCCTGGTCTGGAGAAAGGGGCCTTCTTAGCTCTGCTCAGCTCCAAATGCTGTGTGACCATGGCCATTGGTGTCCTTCTCTGGGCTTTGGTTACCCCATTGCCATGGGCAATCGTGCTTACAATTGTGGACTTAGGGAAGGGAGCCCTGTGTACTCCCTTAGAGGAGGGAGACCGAGTTCCCGGAGGCCCAGCAGGTTGCTTCCTCTGTGTTGGCTAAGTCTCCTCATTGTAAAATAATGAACTCTAGATCATTCTTGCTCATGCTAATGCCCCTCATGAGGGTAGAAGAGGTGCCCTGGAGTTTTCAGCCTCCTCTTCAGGGTCCCAGGTGACTTGGCTGAAGCTGGTCGTCCACTCCCTCCACCCTGAGTTTCTTTTCCCTGAGCGCCTTTCCTCCGCTGGCTCGAAGATACCCGCACTCAGGGAGCCCCGAGGAGCCTGGCGGGGCTGGCCCATCCCGATGGCAAAATGTGTGTTGGGGGCAGGGGTGTTAGCCAAATGGCCCCAGAGGTCCTGGTCCGCAGCTGTCCTCTGTCAAGTCACATGTGTCGGGCTGGCCTTGCTGCTCACAAAGGCTTGTAGACATTAACTGTCTATTACCCGGGAACTCAAGGAAGATGGCAGGCTCAGGCTGCAAAATGTGCAGAACGGAGCACTATGCAGCCGGGGAAAGTGTGAAGCAGCTCTTTTAGCACTGAAGAGTCTCCAAGATATATCGATAAGGAAAAACAACAGAACAGTGTGCAAAATGTTACAACTTGTGTGAAAACACTTTGTGACTTGCCTGTGTCTAGGAAGACTATCTGGCCGGAATCCCCAAGACCCTGGTTAAGTAATTGCCTGTGAGAGTTGGAACCGAGTGGGTGGGAGGGAAGTTTATTCTCTATTGTGTCTTCTGAACTGTGAGCTCCGCACATGTATTATCTCCCTCAAAGGAAATACAATAGAAAGAACCCAGTCTGAGCAAAGGAGTGCAAGAGGGGCTCCTGGGAGGCTGTGAACGGCATGCTGGGTATACAGGTGTCTCAGCCTGTGGACACTCATTGTGCTGTACACTTAATGGCATGCACACGTTCCTGCCTGCATGCTGCATGATACACTTTGGGAGAAGTTTTAACGGAGTATGCTGTGAGTGATTGTGTGTGTTTCACAAGAACTCTGCAGGATTCACGTTAACTGCTTACCTTTGGGATGGGTGAGCGCTCTAGGTTCTTGTTGTATTTTTTTTTTTTTTTTTTTTTTACAATGAAAACCCACTAATACTTTTTCAGAAGCAGTCACTAGTATAGAGCCTTTCCGAAAGGGCACCCAGGAAACTGCCAGCAGCAGTAGCCTTTGGGAGGTAAGTACTTTTCACTGCGTATTATTAGATACAATGTGAATGATTCGCCCAGGGTATAAATGGTTTATGAAAACTATTTGACGAGGTAAAAACAAATACTTATCGTTTTGTCCCATCTGTTTTTTGCTGGTTAGGAGTCCCAGAGGGGTCAAGCAACTTTTCTAAGGTCACCCAGCAAATCTGGTGGCAACAGTGGGCCTCCAGCCCAGAGCACCCAAGTGCCTGCGCTGCCCCCCACTCCCAGGCTTCCTGCCATTGACGAGGTCACAGTCCTTTTCCTGTGGCTTTGCCAGGGGCTGCCTGGACCTGGCCCCGGGTATGTGCAGGGAGTGCAATGTGCTTTCCTAATTAGCTCCCGAAGGGGGAAGCGCCACGGGATGGGAACACGAGTGTCCCTGGAACACCGGGGAAGCAAGGTAGAGGGCACTTGGAAGGCTGTCCTGGGCCAGGACTCGGGCCCCTTGCGGCCCTCCTTCCTCTACTTCTACCAAATGGGCCACATGGAGTGATTTCACGGCCTACTCCAACCTGGACTGGCAACTCCAGCGACCCCTTTGGTCTCCTTGGGTCCTGGTTTGTCTGGAAGGCAGATGTCCTGTGACTGGCACAGGGAGGGTGCGGGGTAGTGTTTGCTCATCTGCAAAAAGGGCAGCTCACTGCAGGCTCAGGCAGAGAGGCCAAGTAGGAATGGCAGAGAGGATCTGAGCGGGGACTGCGGAGCCAGACTTCGGTGGGTAAACAATGAAAGTGTTTGCTAAATTAATTTAAACAATAGGCACATGAGCATGCCTTTAGGAGCAGGCACTGCCTGGCTCTGCAGCCTCTCCCAGCTCCTCTGCCCCGAGCGACTCTGATCCTGGCCGCACAGGGGCAGAGCCTCAGCTGGAGAGCCATGAACTCCCGGCTCCACTGGCCAGCTGTCCCCATCGCGGTCTCAGCCGGACCCGTGAAATGGGGAAACACCAGCCTCCACCTCCCGGAGCTGCTGGGAGAACTGGGGTCCCAGGAGCTGCCACTGCATCTGGGGCATCTCCAGCAGGGGAGGGAACCCACTTGAGACTTTAAAGGTGGGTGGATCTCACACTGTCACCCTACTACATGCCAGCTCCACACTGCTAGGTGCTGTCATTCCTCTAAACCATCTAAAAACAGGGTAAGAATACCTTCTAGTACACGTGGAAAACTGCCTATACAGCCGCTGGTCAAGACAGGATAGGAGATGGGTTCAGGTACAGGCATGCCTTGCTGTATCACACGTTTTATAGCGCTTCACAAACTTTTTTTTAAAGGCAAAAACCTTCCAGCAGCAAAAAGGTTATGACTCTCACTTTATCGCGATACTTGCTTTGCTGTGGTGGCCTGGAACCGAACGTGCACTATCTCCGAGGTCTGCCTGCATCGCACATTCATAGAGTGGAATGAGCAGCCACTAAAGGAATAAGGGGGCCCTTTACCTCTGTGACCGGATTTGAGATGAGAGCCAAGTTGGATGAAAACAAAACAAAAAAGCAAGGAGCAGAAAGCTTGTGTAGCATGCACCCCTTGTGTCAAGAGTGGAAGAGAAAGGGTATTTTCCCCGTGTTTGCTTGGTTATTCATGGGAAATGGGCATCACACCCGGTGGCTGAGGCTGCTTGCAGAGAGAAGGGGTAGGTGGAGAGTGTCTGCTGGTGATACCCTTTGGCACCACCAATCTTTGTAGTCACTATATACCTTCTTCTTGTACCTTTTGAATGTTGAACCCTGTGAATGAATATATTCCTCATTCAAAAATGAATAAAATTAAGATTTCTTTAACCAGCCACACCAGACACCTAACAGGTATTCAAGAAGATGATGAGGAACGTTTAGTGATCTCGACTTCTGGGGTCTCCTGCACTCGCCCAGCCCATCCCTCCGGGCACAGGGCAGCACCGGTGACAACTGTGCCTCTGCCGAGGTCCAGGGGAAGGGTCGCCTCTGACCGCCGATGTCCCCAGACCTTTCCCTTCCTCAGTTGGGAACATCTTTTATTTAAAAATACCTTTTATTTTAAACCCACACATTTTCTCTCTCTCTCTCTCTCTCTCTCTCTCTCTCTCTCTCTCTCTCTCTCTCTCACACACACACACACATTTACACACTCACTCACTCACTCATGCACAGACATGCACACACCCTCTGTCACCAACAGTCTTTGTTTTTTCCAAAAGTTCTGCCTTGTCTCTGACCAGCCAGGGCTGGGGCCAGCTGGATGGGTCTTCACAGCTCTCCACGGTGGGGTAGAGATGTCCCAGGGGGCCTGTCCAGGGGGTCATGGGCCCAAGCCTTTGTCCTCTGGTCCCTGTACAATCGAGGGGTAGGATCGGCTCTGGGGTCTTCTCCCCTGTTCACCCAGCGGCTGGCCTCCGGCTTCCTTCTCCAGGGTCCTGCTTGGAGCAAATGCCACCGGGGTCCAGGCTCATCTCCGTGGCACTCGAAGCGGGGTCACCCCCCTCACCTTCAAGCAGCTGCCTCCCAGGTCACGGCGGCCACTCTACAGGAGGGGAGAAACAAGTATTAGGAAGCCGGGTCAGATCGCAATGAACCTCCGTGCTCAGTAATACGGGACTTAATAAATACATCACTGCACGCGATAAAGTTCTCTGCAGCACAGGGCAGAAGAAACTACGATGGAATGATGTCGAGATAACATTTAAGGACAAAGGCACACAGGAACCTGTGTGCTGAGATGGAGAGAGGGGGGGGGGGAAGGGAGGGAGGTAGGGAGGGAGGGCAGGCACATAAGAAATTGCTAATAGATTTCCTCAGAGAGGAGGAATTTGATGGTGGGCAGACAGAATGGGAGAGAGGCATTTTTACCTTCCTCATTTCTTCCCTATGTGGTCAGTTGCCTTTTAAAGAGAATCCAATACATAACTATCTCACATTAAAGGGCAAAGCAAAGCCCACAGTGCTTCTCCCCGGTGCCTGGCTCTATGCCCAACGACTTGCTCATTGACCTCAGAAGGGGACTATGGATTCTTCCTCCCAGCCTTCCCTCAGCGTGTTCCCTCTGCCAGGAAACATGCTCTCTGCTCCTGTCTCCCTGGGAAGGTTTCTCTCTTCCTGCAACTGGCCAGCACTTCCTGCCTTTCCGGGGACATTTCCCCAGGATATCTCAGGAGGGGAATCACTGGGTTTCTCTTTGTCTCCCTCAGGCTGGGAGCTCGGGGAATGGTCTCCACTCTGTGACCCCCGCTCCAGCCCAGGACCTGGCACGTAGCAGGTGCCAATGGACGTTGCTTGAATGAGTGGTGTCCACTGGAAGCCGAGCTAATGATAGCAGACCACCGCCCTCCCCCCACAGGGGCATTTTCTACCCAATATTCTGAGGTCTGACACGTGGGCTTCCTCCTCACTGTAAGCCAGCGAGGTCACAGCCATGAAAGGTCTCCAGCTGTTGAGTGACTGGCCCAGAGGCACCCTGCCAGTTGGTAGAAGAGCTGGGCTGGAAGTGCATGCTGTCCAACAGACTGTCTTGTTTCCAGGACACGATGGTGTCTGAAATCCCACTGTACAGTCTCACCCTCGGGGCTTCACTAGGAGGTGCTGGGACAGGCGTCTTTCTCAGCATCCGGAGAAAGGGCTGACCATCTGGGAGCTCTGCCCCCTGCTCCCCTCCACCCTTGGGCCCAGGTTGGGGCAGATCCATCCAGATGTGAGCCAAGCCTCCCCTGAGGCTCTCTGGGCCCAGGGACAGCGTGTTCATTCACAGGCAGGGCTATTTTGAGGGCCGAGGCCACAGTCCCAGCAGAGCCCGGGGCTTGGGCTTCTCAGACAAACTCTGGCAGGAGTGTCTGAGAAGGGGGGGATGGGGTAGGGGGAGGAGGGCTTGGTGTTGAGGACGGGGGATAGAAAACCGGCCTCCCACCCTTTCCTCTGTGTCCTCAGGAAGAGCCACCTCCACCCCGAGTCCGGTGGTCACTGAGACTCAGTCCCACGAGAATGCTGGAGCCGAACCTCAGTTTCTTCATCTATGAAACGGGGACAAGATTATTCTCCGTGCACATGCAGCTGTGGAAGCAGCTTGTAAACTGCCAGAAGCACTTGAAGAGGCCCTGACGAGGCCCAGCTTCTGCCTCTCTTAGGAACTCGGCGCCAGGGGCTCTGGGAAGCACCGTGGTTAGGAAGAGGGTTCCAGGGAGACGGATGTGAGCTTCGATCTCTGCTATGCCTTGGACTACCTGCTGGACTTCAGACAAGTGACTCCACCTCACCGAGCCCCTGTTCCCCACGTGTGAAGTGGAGTTACTGTGCCGACATGAACCCTGAGAAAGCCCTAAGCACAGTGTCAGGAACACAGTAAGTGTTCAGCGTTCACAAGTATTGTCAGCAGCACCTGGTCATGGCACCGCCTCACCCTAGCGCCCTCAGTGCCACCCCTGCTCCATAGCTGAGAGCATCAACCGGGGAGCGCCTTCTGAGACAGTCCTATCCCGCCCGCACCCCCAGGTGATAAAAGGGGAAACAGGGCAGAGACAAGAACTCCCTTTCTATCTCACAATTGGTACTTCTACCCCAGAAGGCCGCCAGGGAGCTGTTTCCACGGTGACCTCAACACCAGACCAGCCAGTGAAGGGATAGGGTCTGGACTGTTTGAGCTCCCTGACCCCCCAAAACTCAGAAGGGAGCCCCCGGGAGCTCCTTAAGGCAGGTGGTTTCCTTCCAATCAAGTCTTCGAGGGGCCAGAGCTGGCCAGGAGGGCCCCTTTCACTGATTCCCAGAGGAGCCTGTGGATTGAGAGCATGCCTTCTGTAGCCAAATTTGGCTGGGCTCTTGGTCCTGTAACAGATCCCAAGCAAACAGCCAGACCCAGGCAAGGAGGGTTCATGACCTGTGGGACAGACCTGAGACCAACCTACCTACGATGGGCACATGACAGACACACCTTCTCCCCCGGGCCTGCAGTTACAGGCCATCCCACACTAACTTTCTCCACGTCCCAATCACCCAGGCCTGAGTTCGAATCCTGGCTCCACCATGGGCTGTGTATCTGAACCAGTGACAGCATCTCTAAGCAGGTGTTGATAGCTAGAGCACCTCCTTTGCAGGCTGCTGAGCGGTGGTAACCCACAGCGAGTGCTTAGCACAGTAGTGCTTAGCACGCTCATCAAGACCGCCGTCACTGGCCAGCCTCTGGCTCGCCTCTCTGTCCACCACCTTCACCATCTTCTCTGTTCCTTCTCCGGGTCTGGCTCCAACTCTTGCTGTGCCCTGCTTCCAGAGCCCCTGTCTGTGCTCCCTCACCTGCTTGACTTCATTCCCAGGCATCTGCCAGGAACCCAGCCAGCACCCTGGTTGTGGGCTACCTGTGGGCTCTGACAGCCCTTCAGTCTCTCCCCGTGCCCACCATCAGGCCGCAGCATATCTGTCCTCACCTCCTCGCCCGTGGCCCTGACCCCACACCGGGAGCTCCTGACTGCGGTGAGTGAGGGTCCACGCCTGCTTCTTTGGGGATGTTCTCAGCTGACGAAAGGCGGCCGTTGGTAGTAAGGTTTGCGGAACGACGGGGCACAGCAGCGTGGAAGGCGGTCGGGGAGCACCACGGAGGGCCCCCCACACCCCAGGCTGGCTTTCGAAGGCCCACTCCACCTTCCCAACTCAGTCTGAAGCACAGACCGGGGCCTACAGCGGAGAGCAGCAGGGACCCTCAGCGAAACAGAGGCAGCCATGGGGGTGAGAGGCCAGAATGGGAGTCTGATGAGCCAAAGGGGTGATCTGAGGCCAGGACCTCATAAGGCAGCCATATGAACCAAAGGCTGGGGAACTCAGAGGCCTGACTCCGTGCACTTTCACTTTTGAGAGGGCTATGGGCCATTCTCAGCCTCCACCTCCCCAGATACACATGGAAGCCGCTGACTCCAAAATTGTCACACAGACCAGAGTCCTTCCTGCAAGAACAGCCCAGGTCAGAAAGGGAAAGGCTGGGGATGAAGCCGGCCGGCTCCTTGGGGCTTGGGCAGAAGAACTAGCTTTTAGCCAAGAGAGGCTCCCCCACCCCCCCCGCAACCTCTGCGGCTACCCAGCCCCATTCAACTCCACCAGCCTGCTTCTCAGCCTTACCCAGGGCAGAGCAGAGGAGCTTAATTCCAGCTCGGCCAAGCGGGGTCCACAGTGTCCTCGCCCCACACTGCACCCCTCTGGGGTTGGGTGCCCCAGGAAACCCCCGTTTCACTCCTACTGCTCCTCAGCTGGGTACCTCAGGCTCTGGGTTGAAGGTATGCATCCCCTTCTCCGTCACTGCCTTGGATCAGGGCTCGGGATAGGAGACCACTGTTTCAAGGTCAGGGTAGCTCAGGCAAGCTCAGAACCTGCCTCTGGCTTCCCAGCGCGGAAGTGCGGGCATCCCTGCCTCCCAGCTTCACAAGCAGGATCACTACCAGCCCGATGAAGTGCTTGTGAAGGTAAAAAAAAAAAAAAAAAAAAAAAAAAAAAAAAAAAAAAAAAAAACCAGGAAAGCATCTGGCACATAGGAAGAGCTCAATAAATGATGGCCTTTGCTATTATTTCGTGCCCTCTTCCTAGCACACCTTTGGTTGGGTCAGGGGAGAGGAGGGTAAGTTCCCTGGATGAATTCTTAATGCAACACCTAGCTAATTAATCAGGGGCACTGATTTCTTTCCTTTTAGATTGTCAAGTAAAAAATGATAACAGGCCTGGCTGGCAAGGCTCAGTGGTTGAACCAGGAGGTCACGGTTCGATTCTTGGTCAGGCATAGACCCAGGTTGTTCCATCCCCAGTGTGGTGTGTGCAGGAAGCAGCCGATCAATGATTCCCTCTCATTATTGATATTCCTATCTCTCTCTCCCTCTCCTTTTCTCTCTGAAGTCAATAATATATGTGTGTGTGTGTGTGTGTGTGTGTATATATATATATAAACAGCCAACACAACAATAGCGGTCTTATGTGAATGAATCAAAATTATACTTTTTTTTTTTGTCAGATCAACAAAAAATATATGTTGTGGTGTGTCGCAGAATTTTAGAAATCAGTCTGTGTGTGCCATGAGATGAAAAACGTGGAAGATCGCTGGTCTCAATCCTGCGTGCGCTCTGGGCTTCCCTGCACCCTTTCTGCCTGGGAGACAGTAAGCAAGTGGTTCTGCTCCCAACCAAACCCTGGGATGGGAGCACCGCGCGTCCCACGAACTCCACGTCGCGTCCCCCTCTCCGGCCCCATTTTGCTCCCTTAGAAGCCCTGACCCCCAGGACCTCCCGCCCGCAGTCCCGGGGCGCCTGGCACTCACCCCCTTGCGCTGGTTGCTGAGGCAGAAGGTGCAGATGGAGCGCGGCTGGCGGCCGCCGTCGGGGCCGGCGGGCAGGGCGCTCTTGGCGCCGCCGGCCGCTCGGAAGCACGGCTGCCCGTCGTCCGCCGCGTCGCCCAGCAGCAGCACGTTGGCCAGGTGCGCGATGTAGCTGGACGCCAGGCGCAGCGTCTCGATCTTGGACAGCTTGCGGTCCACCGGCTCGGTGGGGATGAGCGTGCGCAGCGCCGTGAAGGCCGTGTTCACGCTCTGCGTGCGGTCCCGCTCCCGCGCGTTGGCCGCCTGCCGCTGCCGCACCACCACCACCGGGCCCGCGCCGCCGCCGCCGCCCGCCCGCCGGCCGCCCCCGGGCCCCGGGCCGCGCCGCGCCGCCTCCAGGCCCTCGCAGCAGCCGAAGGACTGGTCGGAGGCGTCGCTCTCGCTGCGGTTCTCCTCGTCCTCGCTCAGCAGCCGCACGTCCGGGTACAGCACGTGCGCGCCGACGGGGCGCAGCAGCGCGAACGCCATGGGCACCGGGACCGCGTCCCTCCGAGCGCTGCGCCCCAGGCTCGGCCGCGCCCCGCCGTGCGCTCCGCGCGCTCCCACGGCCCCGCCGGCCGCCGCCTTATAGCCGAGGGAGGGGCCAGCCCCGCGGCCGCCCCGGCCCGGGCGGGTGGGCTCCCTCCTGGCCAATGAGGACGCGCCCGCCGGGCCCCGGCCAATGGCGACTCGCCCGCCGGCCCCGGCCCCCGGGTTGAAAGCGTCCCGGGAGCGGGTGGCCCGCCCCGAAAGCTCCCGGTCCCCGCGGGCGAGCCGGGCAAGCGCTGCCGGCAGTCTGGATGGGTCGGGTGGCATGTACGCAAAGACAGACTTGGTACGCGCATCCTGATCCTGCAGAGATTGCCCAACAGGTCCCCTCTGGCCGGGTTTCAGCTTCCTCGTTCGGTAGGAGGACGGGGAGAAAGCAGCTCGGGTTTTTGTGCCCTCAACTTCTAATTCTGTGGTTCTGAAACTCCCCTGTGTGAGGACTGGGGAAGGGGAGAAGGGAATTGACAGTACAGATGCCTGGTTCCTCCCATTCTGATCCGGCAGGTCTGGACCTGGGCCCAGGAATTAGCAGGACATCCACGCTGGGGATGTCCGTGGAGAACACTTGGAGAAACATTATAATCTTTCCAAATAAGGTGTCACATCCCCGAGGACAAGAAAGCAACAAAACCAAAGCAAAGCAAGAACTAAAACACTAGCCCTCGCTGGCTTGGCTCACTGGATAGAGCGTCGGCCTGCGGACTGAAGGGTCCAGGTTTGAATCCGATCAAGGGCACATGCCCGGGTTGCGGGCTCCATCCCCAGTAGGGGGCGTGCAGGAGGCAGCTATACACAATGATTCTTTCTCATCATTGATGTTTCTCTCTCTCCCTTTCCCTTCATCTCTGAAATCAATAAAAGTGTTTTTTGTTTTTTTTTTTTGTTTTTTTAATAAAAGAACAAAAACACCAGTAGCTCATTCATTCATTTACTCATTCAATAAATATGTCTCAGGTCCTTCCTATGTGTCAGGCATGGTTTAAAGTCTGACGATACAGATTTTCACAAAACAAACTCTTTGCCTTTTACGAGTTGACATTTTGATTGAGGTCCTACTGTGTGCCAGACACCAGACAGACACTTTACTGATCTTGGTGGTCCTCACTGAGGTCGTGGGGAAGAACCCCTAATTTCCAGATAAGAGCTCTGGCCTTTAGTCTTACAAGTGGTGAGTGGGGCCACTATGCCCCTCACCTTTCCCCCCATCCCTAGAATCAGATGCAAGTTACTCTCCCTCTTTCCTCACAGAGACACCTTGGACAGCTGCAGACCCCTGACTTCTATAGATACCTTCCACTGTAACCCAGGCGGTTTCTTCTGCTTGGAATGCCAACCCTCTTCCCCCACTCCCCACACCACTACCACCACCACACACACACACACACACACACACACACACACACACACACATACACAGAGGATATCTTCCCTATTGCCTGCCTTCAGGAAACCTTAGATTGTCCAGTCTGGCATGTCTTCCTCCTCAGAGGCTCTGGGAAGAGTAACTGAGCTGGTGATGTCTGAGGTCCCTGTGTCACTCATGCCTCCTTCCCAGCTCCATCCTGGGGACTGGCCAAGACTGCATGCACTTGGCCTGGACAATAACTTTCTCTTCAGCTCCAATGCCAGAGAGAGTGCAGGGAGTGGAGTTGAAAGGCTCCAAGGTACTTTTTGGCTCCATTTTCCTTCCTTTCTTGAAGATGCTTCCCAGCCCTGCCATGTGCTTTACCGACTTCCTTGACCCAGGCCAGATTGGGGGGTGGGGCTGCAGGCTGTCCCCTGGCTGCCGGGAGAGCAGCCCCTGAAGTCTCCAGGCTCTGTTGTCTGAAGAAAAGTCTATTCCCACACCTGGCTCCCCCTGCCCCTTCATTTGACCATGACCTTGGCCAGGCTGGGCTTTCCTGAGGCAGAGAGGGAGGTTGCACAGCCCCCTCTCCGCGGGGCCAGTCCCACAGGCAGCCCCAGGCCAGGCTGCTGCTTCCTGAGCCGTGAATTATTACCGGGAGATTTCCTTCCCTGTCTGCGCCTCCTTACGGGGGCTCCCGGCGCCCTTCACTTTCGCTTTCCCCCCTTCGCCCCCTCTCTTCAGTTCTTCACCTTCAGGTGGCTTGAAATTCCTCTGTCCGGCCCCCTCTCCTCTCCAGCCTGATGGGAGAAGCCAAACAGGGCGTGAACTTGGCCCCGAAGGAAGGCGGGAGGGGGCAGGCGTGGTAGGCTCATTCATTCATTTGCTCCACAGGCAGGTTTTGACACATGGGACCCCGGGAGAAAAATAAAAATCATGAATGAGACCGAGCCTGGCCTGCAGGCAGCCCAGAGGGGAAGGCGAGTTGTAAACAAAGAATTCCAGGACAATGTGGCTGGAGCAAGCCAGGGTCTGGCATCAGAGAGAGGGTTCCGGCCCAAGGCGAGCTGCTCCTTGAAGTCTCAGGTTCCTGCTCTGAAAACTGAAAAATGGTACCCCTTAGCCGGGCTGCTGACGGCTCCCTGAGTTTATGCCAAAAAAGCCCGGGCCTGACTGACCCCACAAGCGCTCACCGGCTGAGAGGAGCTGGTGGCAGTGTGTGAGGGGTGGCGGAGGGGCAGCTCTGACTCTGTTCTAGGCTTTGTTCGAGGGAGTGGGGAAGGGGTCCTGTCATATTCTCAGCTCCCCCGCACAAGAGGCTTCAGCTACTCTGTCCTCTGCTCCGGTCACACTGGCCTCCTCACTCTCCCTGGAGCTCACCTCTGCCTGGCATGCCCTTTTCCCAGATAACTCCACATCCCATTCCCTTTTCCCCCAGCCTTCCTCTCCTCAGGAGGCCTTCCCTGACTGCTGGGACTGAAACAGCACCTGTCCCTTCCACCTCCCAGCCACCTCCCCTCTACCCTGCTTTACTTCTTCCCTTCCCTTCCCTTCCCTTCCCTTCCCTTCCCTTCCCTTCCCTTCCCTTCCCTTCCCTTCCCTTCCCTTCCCTTCCCTTCCCTTCCCTTCCCTTCCCTTCCCTTCCCTTCCCTTCCCTTCCCTTCCCTTCCCTTCCCTTTTCTTTCTTTTCTTTTCTTTTCAAAAATATATATTTTATTGATTTTTTACAGAGAGGAAGGTAAAGGGATAGAGAGTTAGAAACATCGATGAGAGAGAAACATCGACCAGCTGCCTCTTACACACCCTCTACTGGGGAATGTGCCCGCAACCAAGGTACATGCCCTTGACCAGAATCGAACCTGGGACCTTTCAGTCCGCAGGCCAAGGCTCTATCCATTGAGCCAAACCGGTTAGGGCCTGCTTTACTTCTTTCTCGTTCATCCACAACTATTCATTGATCATCTACTCTTTTCCCGGTACAGTTCTTGGTTCTGGGACTATGGAAGTGAACATACCACATATTTATTTGTCCACTAGAATACAAGCCTCACGGGGCAGGGGCTGTGTATTTTGTTCATCTCACTCCCTCCCCATTACAACCTTCTGAGGTAGATATTGTTTTTATACCCATTTTACAGATGAAGAGACTGAGGTTCTGAAGGAGAAAGTGACTTGCCTGAGGCCATACAAGCAGGCCAGTGGAGGAGCTCAGGTCAGTCGGGGTCTCCTTCCCCAACCCCGTGACCTCTTGGGCCGCCCAGAGGTGTGTGAGGGCGGAGGAGGAGTCTGTCGGGTAAGGGGAGGACCTGCCTTTGTAACCAGGGCACCCTGGGCGTCAATCCTGCGGAGACATTGGAGTTCCTCTGAGGCATCGGCTTTGCACATCACAGAGCCTGCGCCCAGCTGTCCTCCCTGCCTGCAGTGCCTGTCCCTCCAGGTCTGACCGGACAACCCTATCCGCCGAAGTTCAGTGTAGCCTCTCAGTTTTGCTTCTCCTCGCCAACTTTGGTGCAGTCTTGTAGTGGTGATCACAAATGTATTTTGACTTCTCTCCCTTCATCCCCGATTCCCCACTTCTATTTTTTAGCCCCTGCAGGGTACCCACTCTAATATTTTTACTACTTTATTTTTATAGAGCTGCCTGGTTTACAACACAAGTGAGAAGGTACAGAGATGTCCTACATGCCTCTTGCCCCCACACAGGAATAGTCTCTCCAGTATCAACATCATTCCCTCACCAGAGTGATATATATATATATATATGTGTGTGTGTGTGTGTGTGTGTGTGTGTGTGTGTGTGTTGTGTGTGTATACCAACTAGTGTAGTGGCCCGGTGCTCAACCACTGAGCCATGCTGGCTGGGCCTAATTCTCTTTATATTGTATTTTGCAGAACAGAGGTTTTAGATTTTAATGAAGCCCAGCTTATCAATTATTTCTTTTATGGGCCATGTCTTTGGTGTACCTACCTTAAAAGTCAAAACCATAGTTTCTCTCCTACATTATCTTTTAGGAATTTTATAGTTCTGTGCTTCACATTTAGGTCTATGAACCATTTTGAGTTAATTTTCGTGAAGGGTGTAAAGCCTGTGTCTAGATCCATGTGCCTGCTTGTGGGCGCCCGGTTGCTCCAGCACTATTTGTTGAAGAGACTTTGCTCCATTGTGTTGCCTTTACTCCCTTGTCAAAGACCAGTCGCCTATATTTATGGGGTCTATTTCTGGGCTTTCTATTCCAGGCCATTGTCCTATTTGTTTATTTCCTCACCAATATTGTACTGGGTAGCTTTACAGTATCTCTCTCTCTCTCTCTCTTTTTTAAATTTCTTTATTGATTAAGGTATCACATATTTGTCCTCAACCCCCCATTCCAATCCCCCACCCCTCCCCACTCATGCCCCCTGGGTTCACTCTAATATTTTTGATTCCTGTCCTTAAATTAGTATGTATCCTTATAAAATATATAGTGCTGATTTGTGTGAGTGGGTTATAAATTTATGCAAGTGGTCATTTCTATAGATCTGTTTTTGGGGTTATTTTGGTTACTCAACACTGTGCTCAGTGAGCTGAGTCTAACTCAAGTCCCTTGCTTCTGAC